AGTGGAACAAGGGGTGGAGGTCAAGGGAGAGAAGTGTTGTGACCAAGGCGCGTACCTGGTGTTGACGAAGGACGGCTGTTCCATCAGAGTCTTCAGGCGGCATTGGGCTGGTGACAAGTGGACTGGTTGTTGGCGTAGTTAGACTACATTGATAGGAGTGACAGGAAGTAGAGTCGGCGTCTAGGATGCCTATAGGAGGGCTACATTGTTATTGCATTGATGATTGGAGGCGTTTGGAGGGCTTTCTTTATCAAGAGACTTTGGTGTTCACTTCCTCGTATTTGGTGTGCATCTCCCTTTGATTTCTGCTTTCAATTTCGGCTCAATGATGTCTGGTTTCCTGTGAGATGTCACAATTTGGTTTATTGCTGATCGCATTGCTTATTTCCTCGCAAGTGTAACATTGTCTTGTCTTTTGAGGGGAAACAAGCAACCAAAAGGTCCTCATTTTGCCTTTCTTTTGTATTTTTCTCGTCTCTTGTTTCGTTTTCGGCGCCCTTGTATTCCCGCACTGAAAAAATAATGGTGAGACGTCCTTCACAGAACAGCTTGCCAGCCTGCTTGTTTACGTTTTCCTATATTTGGTTTCGTCATGTTCTGCAGGGTCAACCAACTGGATTCTCAATGGTGGCTAAGAAGGAAAAAGCACACAGTGTTGATGTCAATTGTGTCCGATGGCATCCGAAGGTAAGAGGATAATTCAACAATTAACACAGGCGACAAGAAACAATTGAAAAGGAATGAAGGACACACACATGCACACAGTTGCAGGGCTGGGGGGGGAGACCTGTGGTAGGGAAAACATGTGTTGGTTCTTTGTCTCCATGTGGCAGGTATTGTAGCCTGTCTCTCTGTACATTTGTTTGGTGCTTCTCCTGGTTACTGTAATAACCCTGTTCAGAAGTAGCCCGGGGCCTAGAACTCAGCCCCAGGCCACGCAGACCAAAACAGGTCTGCGCTGGGCTGTGTGACCAGCGCATGCCCAGATCTGAGTAGGCCGCACGCGGCTGTGGGACCAAGTGCTAGGCTCAGGAAATTCGAGAGTCAAAGTCAACTGTCAAGGCAAAGGTACCACGCCAGGCCCTTGGTTGGATACATCCACTTGTTGTGCGCAGGTACCAAGACATGCATCCAGGCCGAAGAGGATACAGTTTCAGATCAATCCAGACCCTTAC